TATGGAACTACAATTTTCTGGACCGACAACAAAAGAAATGAGCAGCTTCTCGGCAGTGAGATTCCAGAAACAGGAGTGGCATTCAGGACCTCGATATCTCAAACGGACATAGTTGCCAGGCCAAAGTCCTATTTTATTATAGGTCTTTTTTGAATATTTGTAACTGACGGCCTCATGTAAAGTCTTATAAATAAAATCCTGAAAATTGTCGTTAGTTAATATTATTACTTAAAAAAAAATAGAAACAACTTCGAAATTATAAAATTTTAATTGACGAAATATGACACATTTGTAAAATTTAGCCATTATTTTATAGTTATTATTTTTCGATGCGTAATTTTATGGCGATCCGAAGAAAATCAATATTCATAGCTTTTTCAGTATATATCCAGTATTTTTTAGTATTTTTGGGTGTGAAAATATATGTTTTTTAGCCATAACTTGGCCATCAAGAATCCCGTCTCGAAAAAACGTACTGTTTTGCACAGCTAAAAATCTAATAAAATAGTTCCTGTCAAATGAATTGAATTTTATCCATTTTTTCGTTTGTGTTTGTGATACATGGAATTTTGGGATGTAATAGATTTCGCAATCTGAAAGAACAGATCAAAGCAAGTTAACTCTAATTATTTGTTTCTAATTAAGTTATAGCCTAACTTCTTGCTCTTTCCTGAAGATTTCCCCAAAGTTCAGCTAAATGAAAGTACCAGAAGCTTTGAGTGATTCTCTGGAGATGTGGAGCATTGGCTTAGGGCACCTTTTTGATTTTAGATTTCTGCTTTGGCCCGGAGGTTGCACTTTTTAGCGGGGTACAGTTGCCATCGCTGGCGGTGCAGTTGGGTGCCTCAATTAGTGGCACTCCACAAGCGCAAGCGCGCTGAAAGGGGGGCAAAATGGATGGGGGGGAGGGTTAGGGGGGTAGGCCCGTTCCCGGATTGGGGACCCGTCACTCTGCCATTCGAGCCGGGGTCTTTCGAGGCAGAAGTGTGTGCCATTTTAGCCGAGAGAGTCGAGTCGCACACTCGGCGTGTGTGAATGACATGGAAGACATATGCACAAAAGCGGCAGCAACAACGACACATGGAGGCGGCATTGTCAACGCTGCAAACTGTCACACGGGCGAAAGGAGGAGGGGGAGGGGGGAGACAAGTGGCTCTCAGTCGGGGTCACCACCCAACCCCAACCACCGTCCACCATCCACCATCCACCGTCCACATCCTCCCACAAAACTGCGAATGGAACTGAAACTGGCATGCAAATTACTGTCGAGCATGCTCATCTAAATTAGCAGCGGGACGGGGCTGTTTCGGGGGTGTAGGGGGGTTGAGGGGCCTCTTTTTTTCAGGGGGGTCCAGGCCCAACGAGAGGTTAAAGAGCCGCAGCGATTCGAAGAACACCGGAGGCTCCGGCTTTTGCGACCGTAGGGTGGCATATGCATAATTATTTTTATTATTATTCTCTATGCCTCTGCGTCCCCCCAAAAACCACGCCCCCCTCAACCGCCGCCTCTGACCAACCCCATTTGGGCACAGATTGCGACTTCAGCGCCTACAAAACAGCAGGCAATGGGAAAGAATTACAAATATTAAAGTATTGGTAGTTATTATAGTAATTATTATAATTATATCTCATTAATTTTTTATCTTTAAGAATAGGCGTTAAATTTGTACTTTTAAGTTAAGATTTTTTAAATAATATATTTTATGGTACGCTATCACTATATTTATCAGCATATTTATATGTAAATAATATTTAAATTTTGTTTACATTTTTGTTTTGAATTCATAGTTTAAAATTTAACAAATTTAAAGAAATTTAAGTACTTTTGCCCACTGTTCGGGGTCTCCATCTTCTCTGGCGGCTCGGAGACCATGGCACCGACGCAATGTGCCGTAAAAATAATTATGGCTGCAACTGCACAATTTTCCTAGCAACCCCCTTTCGGATCCATCCCCTCCCCCTCTTTCCACACCGCCCCTGATTTGCCACACCCCCCATGCAACGCTTGCAACGCTTTCTGCGCCCCTTGGCAGGAGTTTTCCGCTGGAAAAGCGGCGGCGGGAAAATGCGATTTGGGGGAGTGGCAGACGGTCTTGTCACAAGAATCTAATGTGCAATTTTATTTTACCGCATGCCACGCCCCCTTTCGCCATGAGGAAGCCAAAGCGGAGGCCAAAGCCCCAAAAGGGGCGAGACGACTTGCCTCGAAATGGAATCGGGCTCACATAATTAACATAAATGCAGTACATCAAATGGGACTCTCGAAACTTTATTGAATGCCTGGCTATCAAGATTCAAAATATCTTTAATATTTTTTTCCATATTTTTTATGCAATTTATCATCCCGATAATTTTATAATAAACTTTTTGGGTCTCTCGTAGAGTTCTTTAAGATCTTAATAGGGAAAATAGGTATATTAAATATTTAGAATACAAAAATAATTTAAATTGCAAATATTTCCAATATAAACAATTTTCTAATACAACTTTCAACCCTTTATTACACAGCTTTAAGTCGGCATTAAATCATTTGAAAAATCCCAGCAAGTAAGCTAATTTCCAGCCGACTTTTACCGGCAGCTTGAATTGGCTTTTGGGCAAATCTGAATGGTGCTCATTATGGGCTCGATGGCTTAGGTGGTTGGGTGGTTGGGTTGGGCGTAAAAGGCTTTGCATTAACACCACCCAAACACCCCAAATGCAGCCAACCAAATGTCAAACGAGGCTACTTTTCTCCTCTCTCACTCGCTTTTTTTTTCTTTCTGTCGACGTTTTCTTCCCTTGGTTCTTTAATGGGATTTACCTAAATGAGAGCTAATAATGCGCCGGTTGGGCCCGAAAGTGGAAAATATTTCCGGGAGGCTGTAGAATTTAACATGCCATTTGATGTCGAGCTGCGTTTCGTTTTCGTGTTCAGTTTCTCTGTTTCTGTTTCTGTGCCATGATTATTATTGGCACATTAGCCGGCCGACTCGCAGCCAAGTGGCGAGCCATCCACAGCCACTCCAGCCACACACTCGACACTCAACACTCGCCTGGGTCCGGATTTCAGCGCCTGACCCCCGACCTGTGACCCTAGGAACGACCCCAACCTGTCACTGCGAAAAAAATGGGCTCTAAAATGGATACAAAATCGATGGAATTAGACGGCAAGATTCTAAAAAATAATAATATAATTTTAAATTGTGGTTGCCTCGAATTATTAAAAATCTAGTTGTTCTCAACTACTTATCTGTAGGACAACATTAAAATATTTTAAAATAACAAATTCTATTTTGCTAATGGCAGATGCATAAACTTAGTTCTGTGAATAGTAACTAAGTAACTTAAGACATAAACTAAAAGTATTTAAAATATAAGTATATTCTAAGTAGCACATATGAATAATATTTTCTATTGGGAAAAAATACGGAAAATAATAGTATTTTATTTTCTAATATTAGAAAGTATTTTATTTTCAATGTTGGCAAGTTGGTGTACCTTAATTTATTGGATATATTAGATTAGAGAAATCTCGTACATTTAAAATATATATTCTAAGACGCACATTTGAATAATTTTTTCTATTGTTAAAAAATACTGAAAATGTTGGTACTTTATTTTCCAATATTAGTATTTTTCCATCTTGATTTAACAATAGGATTATTGTACTTGGAATTTAAATATTTTGATACATCAGATTAGAGAAATCACATATTTTAAAGATCCCCACTGATTCTATGGTTTTTTTGCTTTTTTTTCAGTGTGGGTGATATTTGCGAGGCGGAGCGGAAGCGTCGAACGGAACCTGCATATGTAAGCAAAAGCCAGCGGCAGTTTTTGGGTCCAACCCTCGGAATCTGGAAGCTGGCAACTGGAAGCTGGAATCTGGAGGGGATGGATCGCAATGGGAATGGGGACTCGGATGGGGATGGGGTTGGAGGCGAGGACCAGGACGACAATTGTCGCGTCTAGAGGCACTTACGCTAAATTGCATTTCACTTGTGTGTGCGTGCCGAGAAAAAAAGCAAATAAGCGACCGTACTTACAAATACACTGAACGAAAAACTTGGAAATATTTAAAGATCCATTTGGGCCTTACCATATATGTCTTATATATTATACTAAATTATTTATTTATTTATTTAATTTAATTAACAAAAAAATCTTTAAAATGATGATTGTTATTATTCTGCTTTTTTAGTGCACCATTAGCTACAGTGAAGCCTCGACTGCAGCACGCAACGCATGTATTTTGGGCCAGGTCAAAACAGCTCAACGCGCATCTCATAATTATCTTCTCGCTTCGCTGCCGTTTTGAAGAGCCTCGGCCACGGAGACAGTTTAATAATCATCAAAATAGCCAACACACAGGGGTGAGCCACCGAACCACTGAGCCACAGCACCACCACTGCCGCTATTACCATCGCCACCCGATCTTTTCCAGCCTTTTTCTGCTTGTTGCATGTGGCTGCGGTGTCACATGTGTCTCCTATGTGCAATCCCTATAACAATCCCCCTGCCCCTGCTATTTCCATTCCCATTCACATTTCCCTTTCCGTGTCCGTGACGAAGTCCGTGTCCGGTTTTCATAAGTTGGCCAAACACGCCATCTCCGGGAACCAAGAAATGAGAGCTGGCAAATCATGAGTGTCAGCTGGCGAAAGGTAAACTTTTGGCTTCACGAACTGCAGGTCCTGCCACACTTGACTTGTAAATATCTAGCCAAAGAGCAAAAGGAATTAAGAAGTCAGAGGTCATTATAGATTAATCCTTGTACAAAATTTGGGGAAGTATTCTGATGTATGTCTTTAAAATCTATGTAATAGTCTTGGAAAATAAACTAAACTTTTGGGGTCAGACTAGATTAATAAAATCAGTGAATAATATTTTTAAATCTTTTGATTTTAAAAGAAATTGTAGTTATAAGGTCTGTACTAATATTCTTTTATATTTCATCAAATAAAAGTAATTGTTAAAAGGTAACTAAAACTCAAATTATTTGCAGTCTGATTTCCAAATGGGTATTTATTTAGATAGCGTATGAAGAGTTATTGGCTGATCAAGCAGATATTCAAATCTGTACTTTTTAACATAAATTTTACTTGAATTTAACATGAATTTTGATTTTGTGACCAAAAAAAAGTTTGTTTAGAAAAATGTCTAAATAATTAGAAAATTATTTTGACTAGTAATCGCCAGCATCTGAGCATAATTTATTCTTCAGTCCAAAACGAATTCCATTTGCCAGTCAAAAGCGTATTCCATTTGCCATTACCATCACCATCACCATCATTGTTATCATTGATCCATTTGTTCCAAAGATCAAAGCCTGTGTCGATAATCAGTTCGATTGCATGGGTTAAGATGTTCACAAATTCGGTGTAGCTGGCGATGCGGAGAATCCTGAAGAGGATAAGGGTTGAGGCCACAATCAGGACAGGCCAAGCGAGTGAGATCAGGAACCGGGACACACATAGCATCATCCAACAGGCCAGTAGGAAGACCATAATGTAGCCTATCCAGTCGGTCGGGTCATCGGAAGACGGCAGATCGTCGAGCACCAACATGTATCCTGTGACGTCATTACGGTTAGCCATTGTCTAGAACAACAAAAATCCTTGCTCGAAGTTCCACAAAAATATCTGAGACTCCACACACCTTCAGAATTCGATTGGGAATGAGAAGGGAAGCAAATGTGCCTGACGACTTGGTTTTTAGCTATTTAAACGTATATATTCACAGCCTACTTGGTAGATTTCATCAATTCTCACTGGGTAAGAATTTCTCAACTTACAATCTTAAAAATTGGAGTTTTTCTTTCTTGTTTTTTTGCTGTAACTTGGCCAAAAATGGTCCTACACCAAAAATACATGCTGTTTTGAACAGACAACAAAATAAGAAATAAATCCATGACACTTTCCGGGTGATCTTAAAAAAACAAAATTTTCGCAAATTTCCAATCTTTTTAATAAGGGGGTACATCATGTTTTTTTGCGAAAAATGGCAAAAAAATAAAATGTCTAGGTTTAAATGCCAATCGATTGCAAATTAAATAACGAGTTCAGGAAGGTATGACAATCCATATTTTGATCAATATTTCCATTGCTTCGGTAAAAAAACCGAATTCTTTTTTGGGCAAAAATGGGATCTGTTAGATTCCTTACCGCAGGAAATTTTGTTTTTTTGAAAAGACCCTAATATCTTTGAATTCCCTGACGTTTTTCCCCACTTATTTCGCTCAAAGCCAAACAATAAAGAAAAGAAGACTGTTGTCAATTCATAACTGAAAATGAAACGTTTTCCGTTGGGCTTGTTGGCTGTTTGCTTGTTGCTACCATTATTATGGCTACTACTACTACTATTATTGCTGCTGCTGTTTTGTTTTGTTTCATGCAACTTTTACCATAATTGCGGGTAGCATTATGACATCGGGAAGCGACAAGCGAAACGCAACCTGAACATAATTACAACAATTTGTTGTCTAGTGTTTGACAACAAAAACAACGCAGAGAGCTGAAAAATAAAAAGGCAAAGAAGCCGAGGAGATGATTGTTGTCATGGTTGAATGATGCAACTGGAAAAGACAGAAGAGACGGAAAAGGCAGCAGAAACAGCAGCTACACATCGGCAACAAAAGTCACGCACATTGACATTCGCCTGGAGAAACCGAAAAAGATGACACGGTAAGGCAGCCCGAGGAAAGGTGGGAAAGCCAGCAGCAGCCCCTCAAATGCACTGGGGGAAAAAGAGGGCTGAAAGTAGCAATTTTAGAGCTATTTAAGGTTTCAGGTCTTTTCAGGTTTCAATATGTTGATTTCACAAAGGATAAACTACGATAGAAGGTGGCTCTTTCAATAGTCCAGGATATTAATATCAAAAAGAGATGATGGAAGATCAAAAGAGGCTCTTTGAGCAAGGACACGAACCTTTTTTAGCCAGCTGATGAGATAAGAAAGGAATTACTGAAATTAGAGGTATAAAGGGTTATTAGCTTAACTTTCTTTTGTAAAAATATATAGATACTATAAAAAGACGGCTCTCTTTCTTTAAGTGCACTCCTTCCCCCCGAGGACAAGGAAATACATCTGTGGCAATGTGGCAGCTCCTCTGCGATGCTCGTCACACTTCATTTCGACGCTTTCAACGCTTGTTGCGCCTCCAAATTAATTGCCACAGCCTGTGCAGCGCCAAAATTTAATGCAAAGTTTAGCAAATACAAGGAGGGAGTATTTCTTGGGCCCCATCCACCCAGCCACCCTTCAATATCCCTCGGGATCGGGAGCTTCGACTAATTAGCAGGCGAGGCGCAGGCGCCAGAGCTGGCTAAACAAAAAAAAAAATAAAGAAATAAGTATAAAATCGGGAATCGTGAATCGGGAGGATATGCGCGCCACATGCCCCATTATCAACAATTGCACATTGCGCCACATTTTACAGTTAATTCTCATCTGCCTCAGCAGCTGCATTCAGGGAATATTTAAATGTTTTTTACTCAGGGTAGAGTCGAATATTCTTAGGGGCTCGGAAATGGTTTTGCCGAAATGACGTACATTTTACTTTTTAATTGGTTCAAATTCGATTTCGAAATAATGATAATTTATTATGATCTAACATAAAGCTAAACGGAAAAACTTAAATGATTCACCTAAAATTTAAATGTAACTAAAAGTTCCAGATGGTAAATAAAGGTAGTCCAAAATTACACTTTTTATGCAATGCAATTTAGAATTATCCAAAATAAAACCGCCTAAACAGCTCCTAAACTTTAGCTCGATATTTCACTCCCTTTTCTCAGTTTGATCCTAGATTTTGGCGCCAAAAAGTCAAATGAAATAAAAATAGAGGAGTGGAAAACGGGAAATGTGGGTGGAGAAGCGAAGGACGAGGGAGAGGGTAAGGAAAAGGCAAAGGACATTCTTGCTTGTGTGACAAAATCGCTGTGTGAGTGTGTGTTGCCTTCTCTCCAGTTGCCCCATCTCGCTCCCACACACACACACACACATTCACTCAGAGCCAAGACTCCGCCCACAAAGCGATCGTGAGGTGGCGAAAAAAATTCACCATAGCCGGGTGAAAAGCGCTCAAATCACTCACACACACACAAGCACACGAGGTCTTGCTCTCTCTCTCTTTTCTTCTCACCGAGCATGCGCATGGGCCCGAACCGTTGCCCTCTCGCTCTGGCACCCAGGATACTGTGTAAAATGGTCGCCTTACAGGGGGCGTTACTCTATGGCCGTCTCGCTCGCCCTGCTGGGCAGAGGCCTGAGTTGGAGCGAGAGGGAAGGAGTTGGGTGTGGGGCGGGGGGCGGCAAGAGAGTGGAGAAGATGCGACGCTGTAAACGAATTTGCATATTTCTGCTGCTTTACGCTTATTGCATATTTTATTCATTACGTTCTGGCGCTTCGGCGGATGAAAAAGCAGGGCGAAAAGCGTAGGAAAGTGTCATAAGGCATTCGGACTACCGTTAGATTTACGCCAGCATCTTGCCTCCCTCTCGCACGCAGCCTCTCGCTCTTATTCTCTAGTTCTGCTAATTCTGCCTTATCCTTTACCGCTAATGACACCATTTTGTGTCACGGGATTTGCCTTTCAAGTCCTTAATAAAATCTTACAAAGAAAAAAAGATGAACATCTCTAAATTAGCAAACTATTCTTTTCCTTATTTGTAAATTTTTTCAATAATACATTTTGGAAAACAACCTTTAAAATATTGAAGCATTCAAAAGCATATTAGAAATTTAAAAATCCAATTTCATTGATAACTTTAACCACGTTATTTTTTTATTTATGTTAATATTGCTTTGAAATCACACTCTTTCGATGTAATCCTTTAAAATGTTTAATGTTCTTTTTCTTTTAAACGTTTCATTAAAGCACTTTTTCGATTCTAACAAAATAATCTTTCTTAAAATATCAAATTCAAAGCGTTCAGTACCCCAACTATAAAATTACTTTTAATGCTCTTAAGAATATCAAAAAGTGAAGTGAATGTCTTTACTAAAATGTCAAAAATGACTGACTGTAAAACTCTAAAATAAATACTTAAATGTGAAGAATAAATACTTATATAATTATATAAATATTTTACAGAACTCTCTTGTTTGATTATCTTACTTTTAAACAAAAAACTAATTTCCTAAAAGGACTTCTTAAATCGTATCTTTTGATATCCTATTCAGTTTCAGTATCTTAAAGCTGTCTCCTGATTTTCCTTCGGATACCGATGGCCATAAACAATGTTCCCCGTCCAATGGTTTTGTTTTGCTCCTTTTCCTTTTCCCGAAATTGGTTCCACGTCTGTATATATTTGTAAATTTGTTTATTTTCGCTTGGCAGGGACTTAATCTGTGCTCCAGTTTTTCGCAGTCTCCCCACCCAACAAAAAAATGGCCACCTCACGCACACATTTAACCGTTTAACCGTTGTCCTTTTTTTTCGAAGGAGCCAAAGGATGCGATTCGAATGTGCGTGAGTTATCCTGCGTGTTGTTATCCTGGCTCGGCGAAAAAAAAATGCTGGATGAAGAAAAACATAACATTCAAACCGGTCCTGAGTGAGTGCTCAACTACTCAGTTGCTCCATTCACACGCACACAGAAGCACTCAGACGCACACACTCACTCAAAAGCGAAGCCTCTGCCGCCGTCGCCGTCGACTGCGCTGCCGTGGTGGGTTTGGTGAGCGTTGCGGGCAGAGTGGCGAGTAGCGTCATTCAAAACTGGAGTTCTGTTAGTTAACGTCGACACTTCATATGAAACGAAGAGCGGAGATCATAGCGGAAGGTCCAGGGGTGTAGGAGTAGGTGGGTTCGCCAAAAGGGGGCTTTAAAGGGGGGCTTTTCAAAGTACATGTAGAATAAAGGTTAGGAAATGGAAAAGAAAATAAAGAAAGGGTAGAAAAGTGTTGGGATTACAAAGAAATGGTCTAAATCTGTAGAAAAGAAAAGAAAATTGAAGAAAAACAGTACCCCCGACTTGGGTGTCAAAATGCTTGTCATTCGGACAGCCAGCCGATGGGGAAAACCTATGCTGCTAAGCTGGCCTAAGCTCTGCTGCCCCCGTGTGTGGTGAACAGCATAAATCGCCCACCGCCCCCCCACGCACACAAGTTCACGATGGGGATTCCCCACTTTCGCACTCTGCCGGCGCCTCTGCCAACGTCGCAGCCGGCGTCTTGCACTTTGGCGCTCGGCGGCGTCTTGGCCCGGTTTTTTTTGTTTTTCGGGCTTTTCGGCTTTTTGGATCGTTCTCGGCCAGCAGTCGCCGCCTGTCACACGCTCACGTCAAACGCTTTTGCCGTCGCGTCGCTTTTGCCATTTGCCAGATAAACCAAATGTCTCGCCGTGTTTACGCGTGATTCCCCTTTTTTGGCTCATGCCGAAACGAAAATCAAACCAAAATCAAAACAAATCAAACGAAAAACACTGACCTTAACCGATACGGTTCACCGTTTAACCGCTAACCGTTTAACCGTTTCGTTAACGAGGAAAGCGAAAAATTCTCAATCGAAAAGAAAAACAACAACACCCTGCTAATTCTGTTTTGTTTTGTTTTTTTGTGCATCCCAGCATTTTTCGAAAACCTGACAAAATTCAAAATAGTGATTGAAAAGTGCATAAAGTGTGGAATATTTTAACTATTTTAACAAATATAAAAAACAAACAAAAACAAGGTGGGAGG